TCACTAAAAATAAGAAGACCATCAAGTCTGATCTGAATAAACTAAAGCAACACGTCATAGTCTATTGCATCAACATCAAGGAAGATGGCTCAGAAGTATAATAATGCAATTTCAAATTGGTAAAGAGGGACAGCATGCGGACATCTTTGTTAATTAGAAGATTCGGAAGAAAAGGTGATGCAGCATGATATTGTGTTCTAAGTTTTCAAGAGCTAGGAAAAGGCTTGGCTAAGTCAGTTAAACCCAGTAGCAATCTAGAATTGGCAAAAATTTTAGAAGTACATTCTTTATAGGTAACTATCTTCATCACAATCACATGTGACATCTGGTTTCATCAGCAATGTGCGGAAGAAATAGTTTAAGTCATCCACGACAACATCCACACAAGCTAACCATCAAACATGAGCGCTACTAACTGGGGAGCAATTAACATTTAGTCCAACTTCATGCAAAACAGAGAAACTAATGTACTTCCAAGTTGGCATAGTACCTTTGACATGTGGGATTCCAAGATTTGCCGTCTTCCTTCCACATCTGGATTCGGTACAACGATGTGACGGTCAAACCGGCCTGGTCTTACCAGAGCTTTGTCCAATGACTCTGGGAAGTTGGTTGCTGCAATGACAATGATCCCTTCATTTTGCTTGAAGCCATCCAACTCAACTAGTAATTGATTCAAAGTCATCTTCATGTACTGTTGATCTTTAGGATTGCGGCTCCCACCAATGGCATCTATTTCATCTATAAATATTATGCATGGTGACCGCTTTTTAGCAGCTGAAAAGAGATCCCTGACCCTCCTGGCTCCAACTCCAACAAACATCTCCTCAAATTCACTCCCACTGCACGAGAAGAAAGGAACCCCAGCTTCTCCAGCAATTGCTCTGGCTAACATAGTCTTGCCAGTCCCAGGCGGACCAACAAGCAAAACACCTTTTGGCAACTTGCCACCCAGACGAGTAAATCGCTGATACCATAGAAAATAACCAATTAAGGGGTTAACAATCACACTTCTTAGTTCTTAATAACAACAGCACTGCAGTAACTCTATACATAGGAATTTCACAAAATAAAGGTGTCCGCACAACGAAGGAACAGGTGATGAAACACACCTTTGGATCTCTGAGATAATGCACAATTTCTTCCAGTTCCGACTTTGCCTCATCAACTCCTTTGACATCACTAAACTTGGTATTGGATTCCATGCTAGGCTGCACCTCCTCGTGCAGACCAAGTCCTGCAACATACATGGAAGACAATAACTAAGAAATATAGTTGACCTCTGTTTGAGTGATTAACAGACCAAGTTGAAGAGCAAAGAAATATCATAGTACATCAGAATACAGATACCTTTACTAATTCCTCTGTCCTCAATAAGTGCTCCAACACCAGAAATCAATAGGAAGGCTAACGCAATAGAGCGAACAGTACGCCAAAGTTGCTCCTTAAAGTGACCTCCTTCTGAAGTAACCATGTGAATTGGTGTACCGGCAGTCCCCAGAACACCGTCTTTCCCTGATTTGCCAACATTACGGAAAACCGAAAGACCGCCCGTACTTTCTTCATCCCTCACTGCATTAGACATGCCTACAACATATAAACAGGTAGCTCCACCTTAGTTATGACATATATCAATGCCACAGCGGCAGATAGAAAGGTGACCAACAAATAAAAATGGAATCCAAGACTCAATCCATAATACTGTTGATCTTAGTTTCTCCCTCATAGACAGTGACAAACAAAATGGCACAAATTCTGTTGGTCAATGTATTCTGCGAGCACCTATATTCCACTAGACAACATCCGGACACAACACCAAGCAGAATGCACTAAGCAAATATTGAATGGTCAATCAGCCTCAACTTTTGAGTTAGCAGTTGACAGGTTAGTAGTGTGCTACTTTTGCAAGGACACGAAGATTAAAAATAAAATCTCCAAGAAAGACATTATCTGATAACGGAACCCTCATCCAGCACCAAAGGAGAATAAGCCATCAGATAATATAAGAACCTACATACCTCTCTGCAGGGTCTTCAACAACTCGCTCTCATCTAGTCTGTCCACTCTGACTAGAGCTTTCACATACTCAGCAAGCGCTGAAGGATTATGATGCAACGATGATTGACTTTCAAAGATTCTAATAATTGCTTCAGGATCATTTCGGTGGTAGAGTTCTTTGAGGTGTGCAACTTCAGTAGCTTCATCTGCATCACGAACCCTACGAGCTAGATTGCCAACATAGCTTGATTGAAACTTCCTCTGAATATTGGGAGCTCTATTGCCTGTAGATTGAGAACACCGGATGATAACGACATTTTACGATACAAAATCCAGAAAAAGCAAAAAAATTGAATTATTAGACTATAAAGATGCCAGGAAAAATGTATTTAATAATACGGAGAACTCAAAGGGTTGTTTCTTGAGGCAGGTACAAGTTTCTTTATATACATATATATAGATGGATTATGAGGGATGTGGATAACATGCACCCAAAAAAGTGAGTACCTTTAGCACTTCTGAATTTGTTAAGAGACAAATAGTTCCTGACAAACAAGCTTCTGCATTGTCGTAACTCTGATTGATGTCTTGAAACCTATTAGAAGATGAATATTCAAGACAAGACACACATAAACATAGCATGTTTTGCACCCCACGGAGAATGCTATGATAAAGCAGAAGCACAATTACTTCCAAGGCAAGAACTGAATTGAGCAGGAGCAAAACAAACAATTGCATACTGTGTTAAGTGCATTTTCACGCATCAAACAAATTAAAGTATAATGGGATCCAGACATGCATAACTTATACTGGGAGATGAATTCTTCAAACTTTTAAAATGCACCATGACTTCAGATAAAACAAGAAAGCGGTTTGCTGTCACACGTGATCCTACAATGACAAACCCAGAGGACTGCACCAGCACTTCTAAGCACAAAAAAAAATTCTACTTTCACTCAAAAGAGTAAGATGGGTAGCCTGGTGAAACGAGAATGCAGACAGTAACTAAGCTCTTATAACCTATTCACATGTAACGAAGGAGGTCAACCGCCAATTAGTTCTCAATCCATTGCGCACAGGTATTCAATTCGACTATGACGATAGTTTCCGAGGCCCTATACTGATCGGCTGTAGAAGACGACGTCGAGAAGTTAGGGTTTTTCAGCTACAAAGCTTGATCGACCAAACAGGGAGACCACACAAGGACAGGAACGGAAACAAGGGATAATGCGAGATAGAAATATGCACCGCTGTTTGGGAAAAAGGAAAAATCGAAGAAGATATGAAGAAGTACTCACCTGAGAGATTAACTGCCTCCAAGCCATGGCTAAGGAACAGTGGCTGTGGCTGTGGCTGTGGCTGTGGATGTGGGCGATGAGAGGGAGGTATAAAAGTGTCCGTCTCTGGAGCGCGCTTCCGATCCGAAACAGGTCCCGGGTTGTATTTGGTCGAGAAAAATCCCCCGACTCGATTTCTGTTCCCACAAAGGAACACAACTCCTACCTCTCTTCCACTCAGCATTGATTCAGGATTAAATAACATGTTTCATACTTCAACTATTGCATATTTCCCATTTACATCTTTAACCTTAATTATTCTTTGTTTTGGTCCTCCGTATTTTTAACATTAGCTTAGTTTGGCCCTACGGTAGCTTTTGCAGAAGCAGTTTCTGGCTGGAGCTTTTAAATAAGCACTTTTCAAAAAAAGCAGTTGAGTGTTTGGCTGTAAAATTATTAGAAGTGCTTTTTAATTTGAAAGATTGTGTAAAATGACTATAAAGGACTTATAATATAAAATATGAATAAAAATTCTAAACAATAAAAAGTAAACAAAATGGATCTTGTTAGATTTCTTTTATATTAAATAATATGATTTTATAATTTATTTTATTTTTAAAATGATATAAATGAAGAAAAATTATATTTTCTGAAATAAAATTAAAATATGGTAAGGATAATCTTGTATTTTCAAAACAGCTTTTCGCAGAAGCTCCAAATTGGAGCTTCTGCTTTTATGTTATACAAAAGCGCTTTTCGGCTTTTCAAAAGCCGAGCTTTTACAGGTGTTTGGCTCTGCTTCAGCTTTTGAAGGCTAAAAGCACTTCTAAAAGCCGGGCCAAACATAGGGATTGTATAGTGTTCTAATTCAAGGCTTGAATATTGATGAGTCTCAATATTGAGATTGGAAATGAAATTGTTGTATAATAATATATATTCTGAATCGCTATTCATTGTACTAGAATTCAAATTTTATCACCCTAAAATACAATAAATAGACATATTTATCACTCAACTCAATTTCAATTCGAAACCCTAACCAAACAATCCCTTGTGCCTTCCCTCAGCCCCCAACCCACATCTGGCGCAGAAATCAGAAACAAAGCTCAGCCTCCCCTGCTCACCAAACCAGTGGCGGAGGGAGAATGAAGGGAGTGGGGTCCTAGGACCCCACACTACAAGAAAAGTGTTTTCTAGTCACGGGATTTTATTCACGGGAAATGTTCCCGTGATAAAACGTATGCTAATAGTCATGGGAAAATGTCCCGTAATTAGTTGTATAATTCTAGTCACGGGAATTTAATCATCTACTTTTTAGTATTCATTTCCCGTGATCAATTGTTAGTCACCGTATTTACTGTGAACAAAAGCGAGACAAAATATTTCCAATAATTTGTAAGAATTTCATTGATTTCCAAAATTTCCTTTGGCTCCGAAAACGTTCCCACCAACACCAAGAAAAGTAAAACAAAAACTTTTCATTAGCGAAAAAGAAAAAATTTGGCCGCCCAAACGAAAATTTTTCCCACCAACTTAAACGAAATTTTTTCCCACCCACAATATTTCCCCCCAAAACGAATTGTTTTGCTTCTCTCTTCCTTTCACAGAGACAAAAAGAAACACGCCCATCTTCTTTCCTTTCTCTCATATCTCTTCCTTTACAGAGACAAAGAAATCTCTCATCTTCTTTTCCTTCTCTCATTCTCTCTTTGTTTTCCAGAGACAAAGACATTACTCTTTCTCTTCCTTCTCTCTTCGTTCATAGACAAACTTACCAGACAAAATATACAAACAAAACATAACCCTAATATCCGCTTCTTTACCTAATATGATTTCTCCCTTCATCTTCCTTGTGGTCGATTGGGCGACGGGTAGGAAACGATTCTGGTGGCTTTTCCTAAGGTAAGACAAACTAAGAAAATTGAATACGTGTTAGATTTTGATTCAATTTGGATGCTTTGACCTAACGCAATTTTTATACTTTTCTTGATCTGGCTATGGAGTTTCAGTCTCTGGATGAAGCAGACTTTGGAGCTCGCCCGCGGCAGAGAGACCTCCTGCTGTCGGCAGGCTTTCTACTCTCAATCTCTAGGAGAAAGAGGAAGCCAGATTCGACGAGTAATTTCGGTGAAAATGGCGAAGGCGAGGACATGCACACCTTTTCAGATATTTTGGTATAAGGAATGTAGGTGATACTCTCCCAATTACCTTCTAATTATACACTGATGAACTAAGCTGGTTAAATTATAGATTTAGGTTACTTGCCTAGTTAATTTAGGGGGGGTTTTAGATGGTTTGCGATTCTGGGTTTATGGATTGGTGTTAGGTTTGCATTAACATGGTTTGTGTGATTAATTATGAGCTTATTGGTAACTAGGGATTTTGTGTTTGAATTCAGTACAAGGGGGCTAGGGGAATTTGTTTATTTTGGAGGTCTTCTCGCCATTCATCACATGAAGAGTTTGTTTCCAGCAATGAAATAAGCCAACATATGAGATGCTGCAAGAGAAGATAGAAACAAGGGTATCTATGTTTTCCATCTCCACTCAAACAACATTGGCTCAACCACTAGAAGATTGCTTATACTTTGTGCTTATTGAATTACTTTAGTCGGGAGCACATGAATTTGTTTACGAGCTATTACTTTGTTCCATGGGAGACTAGTTTCTTTTCAATGATGTCTTACTGCTCTGATTGTAGAATTGCGGTAATTAGTGATGTCTCACTGCCTCATTTTAACATTTTAAATGATGCCTCACTGTTCAATTCATGCCTCTGTATTTGTCTTGTTTCTTGTGTTTGGTTGTTAGACATTAAGTATTTTGTCAAGATTTTGTAGATAATGTAAGGTGGGGTTTAGATTTGGTCATTTTATACTGTTGGTAAGCTCTGTTTAACTTTTAGTTTGCTTAATTAGTAATTTATGGATGATTTGTATTTTCTGATGTATTGATTTCAAAGGAAATTTTGGAAATATCATATCCCTGGCTTTACCATGATGTATGTATGCTTAGCTATGGATGAATTGACCAAGCTTAGCTATGGATGAATCAAGAGTGTCATAATTTTAATGGCTTCTTTTTCTACATTTTATGCATTAATGATCTTTACTGGTTCGATCCATGACGTCAAAGGTTCTGGTTAATGTTGGTAAATTAGACTTCGGATTCCATTTGGCGAATTACTAGACACATTTGGTTGATGTTGTTTTGCTGAGAAGGGGGCATGTGAAGCCTCCTAATTACTTGGATAGATGATAGACAGTGTCGTGTTCAATTTACTACTAATGATTGGTTTTATATGCAGAGAGCACTGTAAAGAAAAGTATGGTAATACTAACCGGTGGTTGTTGACTTAGAGCATTAAGAAAAGAGGATGATTCGTCAATCACACTGTAAAGGAATAAGTTCTTATTACCCTAATCTTCATCATTGTTGACCATATTGTCTCTATGTTTTTTGTGGGTTGTGATAATTGCCATGGTCTTTCTACGGTATGTGCTCCCCCAGAAATTTGTGACAGTGCCAAGTTTGCTTTCGCTTTGGGTTTCATAAATCCTCTTTGTGTACCTTGTGAATCTGTTTGGTAATATTTGTTGTAGTAGAAGAGAATCGTTATTGTTGGAAACAAATGAAGTTCATGAACTAATTTAATGAGTTATAGATTCAGTGGTACCTTGTCATTGAAGAAAAAAGTTGAGGGAAAGTTTATGCGTTGAGTCAACTTTTAATTGAGCTGAGTTGTTATGTTACTTTAAGGTCTATTGTAACTTTTTTTTTTAACGCAGGAGAGTACAAAGTCAGTGGCTTTACGTTGGCAAATGAATTTAAGAGTTCTAGTGCTCCATCTTAACGTGGTTACCCTGCATTTTAGCCTATTGCTTGCATCCTGGGATGGGTGAGCTGCAACAGCAGAAGTACAGCCAGTGATGTAGTGGCGGGAACAATAGTAGAAGTATATTAATTTGTGTTCTTCGTTGCAGGTGTATAAAATGTTTTGTTTTTGTCGTTCGTGTTTCCTCACATTAATATTTTCTCTGTTAGTACTTGAACCCAACTAATGTTGTGCTATTTAATTGCTTATAGTGCGGTGTAGTCATGCAGAGGAGGTGATGGTACTGCAACATATGTTGGTTTGTTTGGCTATATAAAAGAGAAAAGGCAGGTTATATTAAACTGTTATTGATATCTAGAAGAGAGAAGGCAGCAAATGTTAGATTTTTCTTGTTTGTTTATGCTTTGTTGTAATATTTCAGTGCAATTTCTAGAATTTCAGTTTCTGTTGTTGTTTCTCTACTGGAAGTGGTTAAGTCACTTGTTTTTGGAATTTTTGTGCAGGGAGTTGGCTGCTCTGGTTTTTCTTAAAGCCATGTGTAAAAGTTGTTGCATCTACCTGCAGGTACTAGCGTTTGACGCCTCAAACTTTGCTTTAGGCTATTAATAGATAGTGTGATCATCTTAAAATAGTTTCATCTCGATCTTGTACTTCTATGTATCTCTGCAGCAGACTCATTTTAAGCGGTGGCACTAGTAACAACATCAATAGGCCAGCATTGTCGAGGGATTCACAATTTCAGATCTGATAGTCTAGGTCCTCTAGGACACCAAAATAATTAGATATGTAACTTGTTTTTGTTTGGTTGGAGTTGTATCCTACAAGAATATTTGTCTTTTCAACTATATGTAATCATACTGAAACAAGTTATATGTCAATAATATTATAATTTCATTTGGTATTTTCAATTGTATGTTAATAATATATTATTACTATTATTATAGATTTGTGATAGTAGTTTGTAATTAGTTAAGGAAATATGATTAGTAGTGATTAGTATTTGATCACAGGAGGATCATCCAAATACCATGACGAGTGATAGACATCTAGTCATGGGAAATGATTCAGTCACGGTTTTAATACCATCTTAAAAGCAACACATCATGTCTTTAAATGTTTTTTTTTTCTTGGATATGTGTCTCAAAATTTGACATTGGGCATGGTTTTTCCCGTGATTGATAGGTACAACTTATCATGGGAAATTATACCGTGAATAGTAATAACTAGTCACGGTACTCTAACTAGTCACGGTATACAATTAGACACAGAGCTATATATTACGGTAAATTTCCCGTGACTAAAATCATTAATCACAGGAAATATGCTTTTAAACACGGGATTTACCATGATTAAAAGACCTTTTTCCTGTAGTGCCACTTGAATAAATTAAAATGGTTAAATGTATGTACATACTTGTTTAATTTGGATAGATTTAGAATTTAGGATCCCGTTTATATGGAATTTAATTGTCCTAGTCTTATGAAACAAACAAATAAATTAGACTATATTGGTCATATATCATTGAAAATTCCCAATTTTATAGTCCTTATTCTAAAAAATTCTAATTCTTCTAAATATATGTACAATAACCTCCAGTTATATCTAAAAAGCTTTTAGTTCAACAAATTTTTCCTATCAATATACAATTTCTATGTCATCAAATGTGTTTTATAAAAAGTTTGTGTGTATTAGATTTTACTTGGTGATTCGGGTCTAATTGTACACATTTTACCCCTCATTTCTTGATAGTTTGGCTTTGCATTTCATCGTCCCTCGATATATTTCACGCTAGGTTGTGCTTTTTTTGATACATTTCAGGTCCTAGCACGTGTGGAAGGGTCGAGGATGAGTTTTGGGACGATTGGAGGTCGAAAAAAGTGCAAAAACTAAACGAAAGTCCAAAGTCACGCCCGTGACCATTGCCTCGTAACAGTGAAGTGCAGGCGTCCAGGTTTCAGGCCATGTTCACGGTTTCTCATTGGAGTTGACGGTCTCCTAAGGTCATGAACTTATGCCGTAAACCGTGAACCGTGAATCATTCAGGGCGATTTCTGAGGTTATTGACGCCGCATGAGTTCACGGTCACAAAGACCGTGAACTTTGAGTGCAAACTGTGAACTCAAGTGAGTGAAGAGGTGCATTTCAACACAGCACGCCGAGTTCACGGACGCGTGGAGGAGTTCACGGCCATGAACTGGAAGGTCGTGAACTCAGCTCGATCTCAGTACAAAGGGAGAGCTGAAAGGAAGAACAAAGGGGGAGCTTCATTTTTGGTTTTCATTTTACAGAATAAAGAGGATTCTAGTGAGAGGTTAGGGTTTCTTCTAGAGTGAGAAAGTGCAAATCAAAGGAGGAAGAAGGAGCTTTGGGCTTGTTCCTAGCTAGAGGATTGAAGATTTCTTCATCTCAAGGGTGTCTCAAGCAACAAGGAGGAAAGATTGGCATCACTTCATGGTTCTTTCTTCCCCTTTTGTTGTTTTCTCTTGTCTAGCTATGGAATAGCATACCTACTCACTTGGGTATTGTGAATCCTAGTCTCTCTATGTGTTAGGATGTAAGAACATGGACCTATTGTGTTGATTGAGTGTTTTATATGATATTTGAGGTATTATTCATGAATGATTGAGTGTGCTAGCTTTAACTCAATATTGGGTAAAATTGACTTAGAGGGTGGAAATCCCCTTTTGGTCCAATAGGAAGCTAGACTTCTTAGCCACTTGGGTAACCTCCTTTAGGTCGATTTAAGACCAAAATATCAAGTATCGAAGTAGGGTCGTGATTCCACCGGGATTAGTCTCTCCGTCGACCGGATTAAGTTCCGAGGGTTTGGTTTGCAATCCTTATTCGGCTAGTCGAGAGGTTTAGGTTTCCTAGCCTATCGTTGCCACCCTTAGCCGAGAGGTTAAGTGAGTTAGCTTTCTAACTTGTTGCAACAATTATCAACTAGCTAACTAAGAGAGTTATGGATCTCTTTGGTTGATTGGTGAAGAGGGCTAGGTTCCCTAGCTATGAATCACAATCCATAACCTAACGGTTAAGAGAGTTACTTCTCCTAGCTTATATTTGTCGATTTTCCTTCATCGATGGACTAAGGGAGTTTGTCCCTAGCTAGTTGCACCCACCTCGCGGTGTATGAACACGTTCTTCACACTGGTTCTTTGTTTGTCGCTTCTTAGCATGAGGCTAGGGGGAACAATACCCGGGTGAAGTCCTCTCGAGTAGAATTCTCCTCCATTTACTTTCCTTGCTTGTTTATTTTGTAGTTTTCTTAGTTTTAAACCCAAAATTGTTTTGCTAGATAACAACTTAAGCGATTGAAGTAGGGTTATATGGATCGGTCCGGGTTTGACAATTAAATACTTTCCCTATACTGCACCTGGTTAGAGTTTAAAAACTTGGCTCTAGTGGGGATATAATTCTAGACCGTGAACAAAGGCTGCTGACCGTGAACATAAGAGATCGACGCGGTGCATTTTTGCGCACGCCTAATGTTCACGGACACGTTTCGTGGTTCAAAGCCGTGAACTCAGCTCGTCTCTAGTTTAAATGATGAGCTGAAAGGAAAGAGAGGGGAGAGCTCATTTTGTGTGAGAAGCCTTCTTCATGATTCTAGAGAGAGAAACACGAACTAAAGGGAGAAGAAGGCTAGGGTTTTGCCTCAAGGCAGATTTTGGGAAGATTTCCTCCAAGCGAAGCTCAACGCAAGGTCCAATAAGACTGGGAGCATCCTTCAAGATGGTTTCCACCCCTTTCCCTTTTGTTTTTCCCACTTTTAGCATGGAGTAGACCTCCTTTCACTTGGGTGTTGTGAAACCTTAACTCTATCATGTAGTTTTCTTTTATGTGTATTGGATGATTGTCATTGGGTATTGTTTAATTCAATGATTGAGCATTATTTTTCATGATTGTGCATGCTTGTGTTTAGCAACCTAGGGGTGTGCATGTTTTGTGCTTAGCATCCTTAGGTTTGTGCATTTAGGTGCTTAGCAACCTAAGGATTGTGCATAATTGTGTTTAGCACCCTTAGGTTTGTACATTTTAGTGCTAGCTATCTAATTAGCCACCTTAGCCTAGCTTAGAGAGGAAAATCCCCCTTCCAAAGGAGACTCAATCGAGTTGGTTTTCCTTCCGCTTTCTAAGCCACCTAACTAGGATAAGTTAGGGCAACCCTCAATGTTGACTTAAGCAAATAAGTTAATTGCGATTGAACCGTCCGACCTTTGAGTTGAGTGAGGGAGTAAGTCAATTACCGATTGTCTAAACCGAGAGGGTCGAGTAATACGACCTTCATGCTTACCTCGGCTTAGCAATTGAGATTGTGGTCTCTGACCATATATGCATCCCTCTGCGGTTCGCGATCACCGTGCCCAAAGCAATTGTTCCAATTTACATATCATGGTAGCAGTTAGGGGGAAGCGACACCCGAGTGATCTTTCTACAAAAGAGTTTTCAAAACCATTTACCCTTGCCCTTTTGTTATTTCAATTAGCAAACCTTTAAACCAAACTTTGTTGCTAGATAGTGATTTCAACAACTAAAGTACGGTTGGACGGACCAGCCC